CATGATGTACTCTGATTATTTAATCAGGGTGACAGTGTACAGCCTTGACATACTCCTTTCCCAATTTTGAACCAGTCCATTATTCCATGTTTGGTTCTAACTGTTGTTTCTTGGCCCACATACATGTTTCTCAGGAGACAGGTAAAGTGGCATCTCTTTAAGAATTTTCCACAGTTCATTATGATCATAGTCAACGGGTTTAGCATAGTCAATGAAAAAGAAGTAGATGTTTTTCTGGAACTCCCTCGCTTTCTAAGTGATCCCACAAATGTTGGCAATTTGATCTCTGGTTCCTCTGCCTTTTCTAAACCCAGTTTGTACACCTGGAAGTTCTTGGTTCATGTACTGCTGAAGCCTAGCTTGAAGTACATTGAGCTTCACCTTACTAGCACCAGGGTCTTCCTTGGTGGCTCAGATGATAGAGAATCTGACAGCAATGCAGGAAACCTGAGTTCTGGGCCCTGGGTCAGGAAGATCCGCTGGAGAAGGGGAATGGCTACTCACTCTAGTGCTTTGCCTGGAGAAATCCATAAACAGAGAAGCCTGGCAGACTACAGTCTATGGGGTCCCAAAGAGTCAGACACCACTGAACAACTAAAACTTTCACTTTCACTTATTAGCATGTGAAATGAGCACAATTGTATGGTAGTTTGAACATTCTTTGGCATTGCCCTTCTTTGGGATTGGACCCCATGAACAAGATAGAAATGTAACAGATTTCTATACAATAACTTTGTACTCTTCAACTTTACTGAATTGATTTATGTATTCTGGTAGATTTCAGGTGGCATCCTTAGGATTTCCAATGTATAATGACAAGTCATCTGCAAACAGTGACTTTTAATTTTCCTTTTCCATGTTGGATTCCCTTTGTTTCTTTTTCTTCTCTGATTGTGGTCTCATAATGCACTTTCTACAATTTATTAAATAATACGGGTTTATTGAAATTAATTTACATACAAACTCTAAGTGCCTACAAACATTCTATTATGTAACCACCACTACAATCTACATAAAAAATATTTTTTTCAGCTACAAAATTGTTTCATGCTTTTTGGTAGTTTAACCTCTAATCTCAACCCTGGTAACCCCCAATCTGTTTTCTGGCTCTGTAGTTTGGCCTTCTCAAGAATGTGAAGTAAATGGAATCAGGTAGTATGTTGATTTATCCATTGCGGTTCCTCAGAGAAAAGAACATATAGGTGATTTCTGGATGTGCAATGTAGGTTTATGTCACCTGAGTATAGTTACATGGGATGATTGGCTCATAATTATTTGTCATACTGAGGGCTGACACTCTCCACAATGTGTATATGTATGATGCTGCTGCTGCGGCTAAGTCACTTCAGTCGTGTCTGACTCTGTGTGACCCCATAGACGGCAGCCCACCAGGCTCCCCCACCCCTGGGATTCTCCAGGCAAGAGTATTGGAGTGGGTTGCCAATTCTTTCTCCAATGCATGAAAGTGAAAAGTGAAAGTGAAGCTGCTCAGTCATGTCCAACTCTTAGCGACCCCATGGACTGCAGCCTGCCAGGCTCTTCCGTCCATGGGATTTTGTGGATATGTATAGTCTGTTTAATTCATACTTAATTCAATGTAGTTAGTCTTTTATGTTTGGAAGGGTTATTTCATGAACTAGGAATAGTAAATCATTTTTTAAAAGTGAGTCACCATTGTAACAGTCATGCTGGCAGATACCTCAAGAGGACTAGGGAGAAAGAAGTGATTGGCTTGGAACAAAAGTGAGGTTCAAAACTACAGGCCTGTTCTCCATCTGCATCTGAGCAGTACTTACCAGACCTTCAATATTGCACAAGCACAAGGGCACCAAGAGCACCACAGTCATTCAAACACTGGGACAGCCCAGGGACTCTTACCCAGGGACAGTCAAGGGGGAAAGCCTGGCAGCCCCAAAGTGTCTGGCCAGACCTGGCCAATGCAGGAGAAAGTTGCTCAACCTTAAGTCGGCTAAGTAGCAGCCTTTATTGCTGCAAGCATAACCCACTGTTATCATGCAAAGGAACATATAAGCCAACTGCAGGGATTAGGACTTGTTCATCTTTGGGCATGATTACTGTGCCCACCACATGCAGCTCCTTCTTCAGGGCTCACGTACTCTACCTTCTTTGTTTCTGCCAGTCACCCTCAAGAGTCCAGAGAGAGTGGTAGACCTGGTGTTGGGGCTGGTAAACCTGGGGGTGGGTGTGATGGGGAGGAAGCATCTTCCCTGCAATTGGACAGGCAGCAGAACCAGGCAGGATGGGCCCTAGGGCTCTCCAAAGCAGCTGTCACTGTCTCCCAGGCTGGAGAAAGGGCATGAGGGGGAAAGGCAACAGGGGTACACTGAATGAGGCTGGGCTTGTGCATTCCTCCTACCCCCTGGGGCCCAGATGGATTTCTTTAACCTATGCCTCAGGCCCTGCCACAGATTTCCCACTGGAAGTGGAAGGCTTGGGGCTGAGCCAAGGCCTGTGATATCTATGTTTCCAGCAACATTATAGTGAGGTATTTGGTCTGAACTGTGTGCTCAGAGGAGGGAAGTGAGCCTGGTAAAAAGTGAATGAGGGGTTGTGCTCACACCCTCCAACCTCCACTTCCATGAGCTTCTCCACTTCCTCACCCTGGTGACCACAGTCCCAGGCCCCTCTCTACCCAAGGGTGGTGCTGATGCTGGTGCTGGACTTCTCCCCGGACACAACTTACCTACACATCTCGGTGGGCAGAGACCTCAGCTGGAAGGTCTCTGCCAAATTTACTCACTCAGACAACAGCAAGATGGGCTACACCACCAGGCAATAACCACTGGATCAGCTGTAAACAAAGTGATCAAGCCCACCTGCTCCAGGGAGGGGTTTGAGTGAAAGGAGTAAGTCCCACACATGTTCTTTTCTGACCCTGAGGTCTGTGACTGTCCCAACCCTCGTTCTCTGTCCACCTGACCTCATGCCATGAGCCCCGGAAGGAAGGCACCATGAGAGCATGGGGGAAGGGCGGACCCAAGTGCTCCCCATTGCTCAGGTGCAGTAGCCCCTAACTCCCCACAAGTAACCCAGGTTGTGGGGGGGGGGTCTCCTGTTTCTAAGATGGGCAGCCATGTCCCAGGTACCCTTTCAATTTTCACTCATCCACACCCTCAGCAGTTGGCAGACATCACAGTATTGCAAGGTAGGATCCAGTGCCTCCTCCAGCAACTCCAACATTTTGAGATGTCCTGTCCTGAGGTTTGGTGAACTGCATCCTCCCCTTCTATGTTTTGGGAACGTGACAACACCCCTTGAATAAAGGAGATCTGACCCTTGCTTTGGCTCACTCAATGTCTTACAGAATCTGGACCAGTCTCTACTTCCATTACTGCCTGAATCACATCTTTCTGCCTCAAGGGGCACCATCCCTGATGACTTTTATTCACACAGAGAGATGCCCAGGCACAAGCTTTGAATGTGCTACCCACCATCATACCCTCTCTTGTGAAATAAAAGCATGGTCTTTCAGGAAGGGAGTCAGGCAGAACCTACCCTCACTTCACTGAAATACAAATGTGTCCCTCTGAGTCACAGGCTGACACAGCCCTGGGGTCTTGGCTAAGAGAAGGAAGTCCTCCCCAAACTTCAGGGTGGGGGGGAAATTGAACATGGATCTCAGACTCTGTCTTGGGTGCCCTAAAAGTAGTCTGGGAGACTGAGCTGGGACACTCCGGGAAATAGCCTTTGCAGGAAAATCTATGTCATGGGGCTGATGGAACAGTATTTGATGGAGACCCTGTAAGAACACAGACTTACCAACCATACTTGTCATAGAGCCTGACAGGCCCCTTTCCACTCAAGGGCAGAGAGACATCCAGGCTGCAGGAGTGTAGGCTGGTCAGCTGGCTAGGGCAGGGAGGATATGAAAGCTCCAAGGACTGGACCATCCATCTCTAGCTGTCAGGGTGCACTCTGACCCAGATTGGCACCAGATGCCTCTCCTGACTTCCAGCTCAGCAACTAACCTGAGCTTTTCTCCTGTGTTCCCTGTACCTTCCCTCCTGCTCCCCAGTTCACTGGGTCCAAGATTCATCCTCATGCCCTTTACTGAACCCGAGGAAGGGGAAGCAAAAGTTTTGGTGCCTGAGTCTCAGGGGTGAGTGCTAAACAGGAGAGGGGGAGAGTATGCAGGTTCCTGCTTGCAAGCTGCCACCGGGGGTTGGGGTAGGGTTCCACTGAGAGGGTAGGGCCCAGAAAGGGGGAAGATGAGCAAACCCGTGCCTGTTACCACCTGCTTAAGTAAACATGCAGGCAAGGTCATCGATGGCAAGCCAGGGGAGGCATCGAGGGTGCTCTGACAGGAAAGCAGAGGGGTCAGGGTAAGCAGGGCAATGAGTGCAGTGAGGGAAGGGTGAGAGACGAGGTCTGTAAGGGGGTCATGATTTCCTTCTGACAGTGATGCAGAATGGCAGCAATGAATGGAAACTGCTAAACCCCAGAGGAGGGTGTTTAGAGAACTAGAAGAGGGCCTTCAGGGAAAAGGGAGGACGTGCCAATGTGGCCAGACAGAGCCCACACAGAACACACACTGGGGGCTCCGCTTGTCTGATGGCCCGGGTGGTAGCAGAGGCTGACCCAGAGTCCCCAACACAGATTCCAGAGGCACTGTTCTGGAAAATGTTCTGATGTGGAACAGCTCCCCAGCAGGCCTCCTCCCAATCCCTTAACCCCTAGCCCCCAGAGACAGGGAAGAACACAGAACATGAGAAGTCCTTTAATCAAACAATGCTGTGACACTGGTGTAGAAAGGGGGCAAAACAAGGGCAGAGGATGCCCTGGTGGAGGCAGAACGAGAGGCAACAAGCTTAGCTGCAGCTCACCAGCCCCAGAGGTAGCAGCTGCTCCTCTTGCAGGAAGATATTGGGATCAACCTGTAAAACAGCAGAGTTAGGGAAGAGCCTCAAGCCAGGGCCAGCCCACAGTCCTGCTCAACAGCCAATGTTGTGGGAAGGGGTACGGAGTGTGTAACACTCACTTCAAATGATCTGGAACTTGTCAGCCAGGTACCGCATGGAGGCTGCAACAGGGAGAGGCATAAACAGGTGCTCCAGACAGATGGACATAGAAGCCTGAACCCCTGTCCCCATGGGGAATTACCTAGCCCTGCAACCTGAAACCCACTACCCCCAGCCCCGATGCAAAGAGCTCTGGGCCTGATCACTCCCCACACCGGAATTAAATGTGGAGCCATTTCCTAAAAGGAAACAAAATGTGCCAGCAGCTCTCAAGCTCGGGGCCATGCCCAAATATTCAAAAATTGTCTCGCAAAGAATCCAACAAGAAGACCCTTAGAGACCAAACCAGACCAACAAGGCATCTCTACAAGTCCTATCAGAAGGAGCTCTCTAGGACTCATCTGGCTGGCAGAGTGTGCACGCAGTCCGCACAGTACTTTGCTACTTGTCCACATCCCCAGCTGAACATGCACCGCACGCTCCAGGGACAGGCTTGATAGGTTCTCCTCCCCACAGGAATGCTGATCCCTACGAGGCCCCATGCACCTGCAGCCCACCCCACCTCAAGGCCCCCCACACCCTGACTTCTGCACTAAGAACCCACTGCTCTCTGTCCCTGGTTCCTCATATCAAGTTGCTCCTTAACATCGTCTATTTCTCTCTGTAGCACCAGACACTAGGCCAGCAGACACAGGAAGAAGAGAAATGGTTAGTATACACCCGCCTCCCTGTCCTCCTCCTCTCTTCTCCCCCGGACCCTCCATCCCAAAGCCAGGTGTCTAGACGGGCAAGTAAAAGACTTTCCTCAGTGGAAAGGAGGTGGGCTCCCGCCCTCTGGTGTGGGATGGGAATAGGGGTTGGGGGCCCACAAATATCAGATGCACTTGGAACCAGATCCCACCATGGGGTTTGGGTGTGCATTTCCAGGAGCCAGAAAAGGCATTACCCGAGGACAGCCCTGCCTTCCGCATGGCTGCTGCTGCCTTTTCGGTCTTTGGGGATGGTCAGTTGGTTCCTGGTCACCTGACAGGGAAAGGACACACAATCCAGCTTCCCAGGTTCCCAGTGAGGTGGAAAGGGCCAAGCCGGGTCTAACGTGAGGTGAGGCAGTATCACCCTCTGCCTAGCATTAGGCCTCCCCTGCTCTGCCCGGCAGGCAGCCTAAACCTTCTCTCTGGGCCTGCGCCTCTTATTCCTCAGAGGCAGCCATTTCACCACGATGGTCGCCAAAGACTGTGGTTCTGGGTTCGTGCCTCCCAGAGCGGCAGCCACAACCAGCTCCTGGGAGACCAATGTGGGCGAACAGCACTTCATAGAAAAGGATATTAGCGTGCAGGTCTATGCCCAGAGTAGCTGTTGGGGCACTGCCAACGATCACCGCTGCCAAACAAATCCCACACAGAAGGTGATGGGGTCAGGACTAGCCCTGTTTACACACCCTGTTTCTCATGGGAGAAGCTGCCTCAGAGCAAGGTTGAGCCCCTAGAAGACAGACAGAGTCAGAAACAGAGGTTTCTGTCCTCCCCCTGTCCTCCCTAACCCCAACATTTCAAACCCAGGACACTCATCTGAGGGGCCAGGCCCTCTGGGCGTGACTTCTACCTTGTTCATGGCCATGGGCTCTGATTTGCCTGAATCCTGTGCACCTCTGATGTTGAGGTTGGCGCTGCTGGGTTTTCCATGATGCATCCATGGACAAGATGGCCATGGCCTGTCAGTGGTCAGCTAAAAACAGATTTGTCACTGATCTGGGGTACAGATGTGTGTGTGTGTGCGTGCGTGTGTGTGTACCAATGAATTTATATGTCTACATCTATGTGTGTGAGAACTCTTGTGATTCAAGACCGAGCTGAAGCAGGGAACTGGAAAGAGAATTGAAAGGCTGATCTCTTCAGCACATTCTCTGTCAGTCAGCCCCAGGCCAGCAGGCAGACCTGAGCTGGGGACAACAGTGTGGCACTGAGAAAGCCTGGGGCCCCTGCAAGGAAGGTTTGGGGAAGAGCTAGGAAGTAGGATTCAGGAAAGTGATGTGTCTAAACACCAAAGTTCTGTGAAGCTTTTAAGGGGTCCCCTCAAATCAATTTAGCTACCAGCTCTCCCTTCCATTCCAGCCCAAGCCTCATGGAGGAGGCTGGAAACAGGCCAAGGGTGGAGAACTGAACCCAGGACACCCAAAGTGCTACCTTAACGTTTGTCCCTAGTGAAAGGACCTCAATCTGGCATCCTAAAGACCCAGTGACCAATAGCCACCCAGTGACAACCGCTGAGGGATGGAGAGAGGGAACACGGGGTGAAGACCTGTGTCCTGGGGAGGGTGGGAGGGGGAAGAGTGGGGAGAGAGGAGGGGCCTGGCCTACTCACTTGGCCCTTTGGGAATGGGTCTCTATTTGGGTCGTTGTCTTTTCTGGACACCGCCATTGCTGCCACCGGCTCCCGGGCCCGCCTAGCCATGGATTTCTTCCCAGCGCCAGTGTGCTTGGATTCTTCAGCTCCCCAAGGGATCAAGGCATACTTCTTGGACCTAAGGAGCAGCAGGATGCTGGAGATTGGGGGGAAGGTGGCCAGTTCCAGGGGAGTGGCTGAGATGCCCTGCCCCCAGGAAGGGAAGGTTCTCCCCATGGCAGGTTTGGAGACACCCCCAAGGGATTTCTTCTCCTGGACCCCCTTCCTCCTAGGAGTGGACCACGGCAGGCTGCCTGTAGTGGCAGCTGCAGGAGCTGATGCTAATGCTACTCTCGGGTAGCTGGGCAGGCTGCCCCCCTTCCCCCAGAGCACGTTCTACATTTTCATAGGGGGAGAGGTGTCCTCTTGCTCTGCATCGCCCTGCCTGCCCTGCCTTTCCACAACCGAAATTAATCCTGGCGGAGCCGAGGACAGGCAAGTGCCTGGCACATTAAGGAGATTCTCCCTGCCTTGGACATTCGAGCATCTGGGTGTGTTCCCGGGGTCCTCGGGTCTGTTGAGCTTGGCCTGGCCTCCGTCTTTGGGATATGCTCACCCTCATCTGCTCTATCTCACCGAACACATCAGAGGACTCAGGGTCGGACAGCAGCCTGGCTGGGCTTTCTGAGGGGGGCCACTGACGATCCACAGCCACGTTCAACCTACTCTTAGTGCCTCTCTTAGGGTTCCCCCAGGCCCAGCACGCCTTGGGCCCACCGACCTGGAGAGGGCCGTCCTCACCCTGTGCAGCTTCCCCAAACCTCTGGGCAGCCGTGCCTCAACTGCAGGAACGCGCCTCGAGGTCCTGTAAGGCAGACACTTCGCTGACCATGTAGCTCTCCTGGGACAGGTATCTGCGGGTGCCCAGCACATTCAGGTCGGCCAGCTGCTGCAGTATGGCCGCCACTGACTCGTCAGCCAGCTGCAGGGTGTCCCCCTGGTCGTCGGCTGGGAAGCCAGGCCGGCTTTTGTGGCCCCACAGCACTGGCCCTCCAGCTTCCAGCACCTCCCGCTCTGACTCGAAGCCCTCAGGGTCTGGGAAGCCATCCCCACCCTCACCCTCGCCGCTTCGCAGTGCTCGCAGATCGGGGCCGGGGCCGGGTCCCCACCGGGCTGCGGAGCCGGCCTCAAGGCTGCTGGTCTGCTCTCCGCGCTCTGAGCCGAAACCTGCTACCAAAACAGATACCTCATCATCTGGGGAGCTCATGTCGCGATCTGGGTGGCCACCGGACCTGTGGCGATGACGATTTATCAATCGGGTCGCGGTGGCTGCCGTGGTGGCGGTCAGGGTAGGTGAGGCGGGAGGCCTCTGGAGCTAGCCCTCAAGCACCAGCCACACCACAGGCAGGAGATGGCCGCATATGACAGGAGGCTTTCAGCGTGCCAGAGCTGCCTCCTCCTCATTGGTCCGGTTCCTGCCAACCAGAACGCCTTGTTTGGCCGTCCCCTTAAGGTGTAACCAATGGGGTCGAGGGCCTCCTCTGGCTTGCTGCCAAGCCCAAGGGCCATCCCGGCAGTTGGTGAGTTGGCGGGTGAAGGTGATGCTGCGAGTATACCTCTGTCAAACCTCTCATTCCACCTCCTCCTATCCCACTTCCCCTTTCCAGTTAGAGTCACAGCCCTGAGCCCTGACTGTATACAAAATGGTTGAGCGGGAGGCAGGAGGGTACTGAGGGCTCTGGTCTCCTGGGAGGTGAGGATGGAGCCGTTGGGCGCCTAGCACGTGCTGAAAGCACTTGGCAGCCTCCCTTCCACCACAAGTCTTATGACCCAATGGGAGAGTGGCCAGAGGAATCCCGCACTCGGTGGTGAGTGGTCGGCGTACTTCTCCCTAAGTGGCCAGAGGACAAAGGGATTGTAGTTTTGTTCTGTAACATCTCTGCCTCAACTGCTCCATCAAACGTTCTTGGCAGGCAGATTTGGGGGACAGACTGCGGTTGACCTCCCTCAGCTCTTTCTCCAATCTGGGGAAATTGAAAGAAGAGAGAATCTCAGTGTCCATTTACACTTGCAAAGGTGCTCACAACTGCTGATTCTTGAGATGTAAACTAAAACAACTAATCAGGTTTCACACACTAGGAAGACAACCTCCCAAGAGCTTAACCATTCTGAGAGTGGCAGAAGTTAGGAGCAAACCCCTGTGGCGGTGCTGCAAGAAATCTATTTCGGAGGTAATATGGCAGAATGTATTAAAAGCAACTTATAGAGCAGAGACCCTGTGCCTGGCATTCAATGCTTCCTTGTGACACTCCTAAGACTATAGTACCAGTGATTACCAGCCTCTTACAGGTGAGGAAACAGGTACTGAGAGCTTCAGTCACTGAACCAAAGTCATTTGGCCTGTGTGGATCAGTGGTAGCAGTAAAACCAAGCAATCTGACT